GCGCGCACATCCACCGCGTTCGGCAGTCGGTCACCCAGCTCGCCACCCTTGGCTACCCCCTCAACGCCAACCTCGTCCCCCTCATCCTCCTCGCCTCCCTTCCCAGCTCGGAGAAGTGGAAGATTGTCTCATCCGGCATCTCCGCGGGCAGCTCCAAGGCCGCGCCCCTCACCCTCTCCTACGTCGAGGCGAAGCTGATGGCGCAGGTGACCAGCAAGGAGGACTCGGACGACGAGCAGGCATACGCCGCCTCCTCTTCTCGCGCGCCCCCACCGCGCAAGCCCAAGGACAAGGGCAAGAAGAAGGCCAAGGCGAAGGCGTCCTGCGTCATCCACGGCGAGGGGCACTCCACGGAGGAGTGCAAGACGATCATTGGGCAGAAGGAGAAGGTGCAGAAGAAGCGGAAGGAGCGGGCGGCGGAGAAGGCGAAGGCGAATAAGGTGAAGGACTCGGACTCGGACTCGGACTCAGACTCGGATTCGGACGTAGACGACACGCATGTAACCGTCTCGCACCGTGCCTACAAGAAGATCTCCGCCTATGTCCAGTCTGATCCTAAGCGACCGCAGCGGCACCAAGGTTCGCACATCGTCGACTCGGGTGCGTCAAAGACCATGACCCCCGACGAGCGCCTCTTCGACGACAGCACTTACCGTGTCCTCGACCCGCCACGCAACATCTACCTCGGGAATGAGTCCGTCATCAAGGCAGTAGGCATTGGCACTGCCTGCTTCGCCTCTAAGACACCGGACGGTGTGCGTGCGCTTACTATTCGGAAGACACTGCATGTCCCCGACCTCGCGTTGACGCTCATCTCGGTGCCCCAGATCACCAAGCGTGGTCTGCGCGTGTCCTTTAAGGACAACGCCTGTACTATCCGCGACTCCTCCGGCGATATCGCCTGTGTCGCAACGCGCAAACACGGTCTCTATCACGTCGACTGCCAGCCCATTGGCACGGATGAGCGCGCCTTCACCGCCATCGACATCAACCGGCTGCACCAGATCATGGGCCATACGAACTTCGAGAGCCTGCGCAACATGGTCCGACATGGGCAGCTCGGGGAGGTCGACACGCTCACCGGCATCCCGTCCTTCTGTGAGCCCTGCGTCATGGGCAAGATGAAGAAGCTCCCCTTCAAGCGGAGCACCACGCCTGCCTCGCGCCCGCTCCAGTTCGTCTCCTGCGACGTTGGTGGCCCCGTCAACCCCGCTGCGATTGGCGGCTATCTCTACTGGATCGTCATTGTCTGCCACTACTCCTCGGGCGTCTACACGCTCTTCACAAAGAAGAAGTCGGAGGTCTACAAGAAGCTCCGTCAGTGGCGCATCGACATGGAGCATCAGCACCGCGACTCTATCGAGCAGTGGGAGTGGCTCCCCGGCTGGGTTGAGTTCACCCGCACAGACGGCGGTGGCGAGTTCTGCTCGAACAAGATGGAGGCCGAGTTCCGGCGACGCGGTATCATCCACGAGACGACGGCGCCCTACACACCTGAGCAGAACGGCATAGCGGAGCGCATGAACCAGACGCTGGTCACCCGGGCGATTGCTAACCTCTGCGCGGCCAAGCTTCCCCGAAAGTACTGGATGTACGCGATGGAGTATGCCACCGACATGATCAATCTGTCGCCCGCTAGCCGCCAGAAGGGAGAACTGCCCATCAACCGCATGCGCAAGGTCAAACGCCCTTTTGACGTCCACGCCCTGCACCCCTTCGGTTGCCCCGCCTACCCGCTCATCCCAAAGAAGAAGCGGAAGGGCAAGTTCGCCGACCGCGCCCGCCGGTGCATCCTCATAGGCTACGCTTGGTCTGAGGGCACAAAGGCGTACAAGCTCCTCGAGATCGCCACTCGGAAGGTCATCATCTCCCGGCACGTCAAGTTCGACGACGCCTCCCCCTCTCCTGACGAGATGCGCGCGGGCGAGGACGATGTGTCCGCCGAGCAGTGGGAGGACTTTGGCAAGTACTTCCGTCTGCCGCCCAAGGACACTCCTGCACCAGGTGCGGGCAGTGACAGCGAGGACGATGACGATGACGATGCACCGGCCCAGCCACCTGCAGCTGGGTCAGTGGGAGCACCTCGTCCACCCACGCCAGAGCCAGTGGGAGATAATCGCCCTCCCTCACCTGACTCGGACGGGCCACCACCTCCTCCGCGTCCACCGAAGACGCGCATACCACGCCGGTCTCTGCCACCGGCCACACCACCGCCGGCTCCTGCCCCCGCCGCTGGTCCATCACGCCGCCCTGGCCTTCGCAAGCCAGAAGAGCGAACAGCGAACCAGCACAAGGACCAGGGCTACATTAATGCCCGGGAGCGGCAGGAGAACCACCGGAAGGTGTCCGCCCAGCAGCGGAAGCAGCGCGAAGCAAACATCCGCGCGCGCGAGCAGCAACTCGAGGACAATCGCCGACGTCGAGAGCAGCCGCCTCAGGCGGAAGCTCCTCCTCCTCCTCCCGCACCAGCGCCTACCCAGGGGGGTGGGGATCCCCCGGGTCAACCCAACGAAGAGGGCAAGTCAGTGAACTTTGCTTTTCTCAATGACGAACTCTTTGCGGGCGCGGCATCTGGTGGTCGGTCGAGCAGCGGTGCGCGGAAGATTCCCACCACCTGGAAGCAGGCCATGGCGAGTCCAGAGCGGGACAAGTGGTTGGACGCGCAGTCGGAGGAGTTGAACAGCTTCAAGCTGAACGACGTCTACGAGGAGGTACCCATCCCAGAGGGCGTCAAGCCGATCACCTCCAAGCATGTCTTCTCCTTGAAGGAGGATGCTCAAGGGAACATCGAGCGGTACAAGGTGCGCATCGTGGCACGCGGCTTCACTCAGCAGGAAGGAGTCGACTACCAGGACACCTTTGCGCCCGTCGCAAGCCTGGAGTCCATCCGCATCATCCTTGCCCTCGCCGTCCGCCTTGGTCTCTACACTGACCAGATGGACGTGAACACCGCCTACCTCAATGGTGAGCTGCTACAAACGCTCTACATGCTTCCCCCGACCGGTGTGGACATCCGGGAGGGCTACTGCTGGCGACTCAAGAAGTCGGTCTACGGCCTTAAGCAGGCCGGTCGCGCGTGGAACCAGACGCTCCACAACAAGCTCGACAAGCTCGGGTTTGTGCGCCTCAACTCGGAGACTTGCCTCTACGTCTTCCGGGACGGCAAGCAGGTCTGCTTCCTAGTTGTCTATGTCGACGACCTCCTCCTCGCCGCTACCTCGCGTCCTTTCATGGACAGCATCAAGAAGAAGCTCACCGCCTCCTTCAAGATGCGCGACTTGGGTCCCGCCAAGTACCTCCTGGGCATCGAGATCATCCGGCACCCGGGCAAGCGCACGATCTCCCTCTCCCAGAGGAAGTACATCAACACCGTGCTTGAGCGGTATGGCATGTCGGACTGCACGGGTGTCAGCACCCCCATGTCCACAAGCACTCGCATCTCCGCCGATGACCCGAACGACAACGAGGTGCGCACTCATATGGCCTTGGTCCCCGGAGGTCCTGTCGTCTCCTACCAGAGCGTTGTGGGCTCGCTCATGTACGGGATGATGGGTACCCGACCGGATACCGCCTATGTGGTGGGGGTTCTTGGCCGCTATAGCGCCGCCCCCAAGGCTTGCCATTGGGAACTGGCCAAGCGCGTCCTCCGGTACCTCAAGAAGACGCGCGACTGGTGCCTGGTCTACGACGGCGCTGATGCTGGCATGGACCTCGACTTCCATGGCTACACCGACGCTGACTGGGGCGGATGCAACGACACATCCAAGTCCACCTCCGGCTTTGTGTTCATCTCCAGCCGGGGTGCCATCAGTTGGTCAAGCAAGCGACAGTCTATGGTCTCTCTCTCGTCTACCGAGTCGGAGTACATTGGCCTAGCTAATGCGGGCCAGCACTTGGCGTGGCTCCGCTCATTCTTTGACGAGTTGGGACGTCCGCAGGCTGGCGCCACCGAGCTCAGGTGCGACAACCGCGCGGCCATCATCCTCAGCCAGGATGCTCAGTTCCGGGCTCGGACCAAGCACATCCAGCGGAAGTACCACTACATCCGCGATGGGCTGGTTGCCACCGGCGAGTGCGTTGTCCTCTGGTACCCCACGGACGAGATGGTTGCGGACATCTTCACCAAGGCACTACCTCATGAGAAGCATCTCAAGTTCTGCCAAGGTATGGGCTTGCGGCCAGACTCGAGTGGGAGTGTCAAAAGTGGTGTTTAGTGGCGAGTCTACCTTCAGCCAGGTCATGTGACCTCAACCCTTGGAACTGCTTATGTAAGTTCCAAGAGTTGAGATCACATGACTTTTCCCCACGCTTTGCCCGGATGGCCCCGTACATACGCGTGTACCTACCTTTCCTTTTCCCTCAGTCGCTATCCTATACGCAGGAAGACTGAGGGTATGTCTTTTACTTACTTTACTCTCACTTATACTGACTGTACTTTAGTCTTGCGCTCTCTGCGCTTATTTAGGTATGAATTCAGTCGCTATCCTATACGCAGGAAGACTGAGGTCTTGCGCTCTCTGCGCTTATTTAGCTCGTGAAACATACTAGGGCCATTTGGGGAGGTTTGGCGCGAAGCCAAGGGCAGAGGCAAGTCGAATGAGCGAAATCACTGCTGGAGCTCGTCGCGATTTTCGCTAAGTCGCATATATTCGTGGGAAAATTTTGACTGTACTAGCTACTAAGCGAGATGTTCCAGTCCCCGCTTCGCGGGCACCGCGTTTACTTCCAACTATCTTCGGCTTCCGGGCCCGGACACCGTAGGTGGCTTCCGCCGCCTCCGCCTGCCTTTCGTTCGCCTTCCGCCTTCCGCGAGCGGGACTGGTTCGAGTCTACCGTTTTGGCGGACGGCGAATTTGTCGTCCCAAATCTGCGAAGTTCTGAAGTTAATCGGGAATAATCACCGTGAGTCACGCGTGGGAGCCATGCGAGTATGCCACGTGTGTGACGCGTCGCCCTCATTCCGCGCTCGCGTTTGTCTCTCTTGGCCTTCATTTGTTGTCCATCCACACTCATCACATTTGCCCTCACTTGAATCCACACGACAGTAACACACCTACATCAACTGCCACCGTCAGATACAGAGATCACGAAACGCACGATGGCAACTTGCGTGCAGAACCCCGCAGGCTTTGCGTTTGACAACGCGCTCCGCAATGAAGCCCTCGCTGCGCGTCTTCCACCTGGCGCAGTTCCCAATGCGACGAGTACAGGAACGACCATTGTGGGGTGTGTGTACAAGGTGCGTGGCAAGTCGGGGCGAACAATTACTGCGACGGTGCCGCTGCCCATCGGCGGCCCATCATGCCCTACTTTACGCGCAGAGAGCTGATGCGAGCATCACAGGATGGTATTGTACTAGGCGCAGACACACGCGCAACTGCAGGACCCATCGTGGCCGACAAGAACTGTGAGAAGGTTAGGACGCGTCATGCATCACCTCCCGCCCCATTTCTGTACTTCGGTCTTCCCTTCGCCGTCGCTCATCGATTTCGCAAAAAATTGCCTTTATAAACCCTCATCGAGGGCTATGCCGGCGGGACTGCAGGATTGCCCTTGTCATAACACCTCTATGTCGCCTGTAGCCCTCACATCGCCCCCGCATGCGTCTCTAACTTCCCCTTCGATATTTCGACTGACGATGTCCTCAGATTCATTACATCGCCTCTAACATTCGTTGCTGCGGAGCCGGTACTGCCGCCGACACGGAGTTTACGACGAACTTGATCGCCAGTAATGTCGAGGTACGCAAGCGCAAGCTACCTTCACGGAATCATTGTTCCTTCTCTCTTCCTTGCCGTCCATCGTGGCACATGCACCACTTTCCTGTTCCTTTGGCCATGTCGTACCGCCGTCGGTAACGGAGCTGACCCGTACGTCCCAGATGCACGCTCTTACCACTGGTCGGACACCGCGTGTCGTCACCGCGATGACAATGCTGAAGCAAATGCTGTTCCGCTACCAGGTCAGTAGCCCTACCTTGTCCCTGTAGACTCGAACGTAATGTAGGCCCACCGCCGAGTGGATTTACCATCCATTCGACACCATCACCCTCATTCCCTCCCCACCTTTTCGACGCTTGATGCCTTTTGCTTATGCATTGCCTTACTCAGGGACATGTTGGCGCTGCCCTGGTTCTCGGTGGTGTCGACCCTACAGGTGCGCACCTCTTCACCGTCGCCCCGCATGGAAGCACGGATAAGGTACGTGATTAATACACGCATTGCAGAACCAGTTCTTATGACCATCGTCAGCTACCGTACGTGACTATGGGGTCCGGCTCTCTCGCTGCCATGGCCGTGTTCGAAACGGGTTGGAAGAAAGATATGACGGTATGTGTTTGTTACCTCCTGCATCCGCAACCTGGCTGTACTCAATATATCCCCAGCGCGAAGAAGCCCTAGCGCTTGTAACCGCCGCCATCTCAGCGGGTATCTTCAACGATCTTGGGTCGGGGTCCAACGTCGATGCTTGCGTGATCACAAAGGACGGTGGGTATCATTCTTTTCCTGCGTGTGTTCGCTGCGAATTTATCCTATTGCTGATACATTTTTTAGGCACCGAAATGTTGCGCAACCTCGAGATGCCGAACCAACGTGTACAGAAGGAGCGTGCATACAAGTTCCCGAGAGGGACGACGGGTATCAGGAAGTGAGTCATTCAGAGCCGCAAGGGGAAGCATCCTTACAATTTCACTTTTCCAGGGAATCTATTCGCTCGCTCGTCACTTCCGAGAGTGTCAGGCCGCATGGAGACGACGCGATGGATACGTCGTAAAGAATTCCCTGTACTTTAGCATCCGGTTCGAGAGCAAACAATGGCATAAATGTATTCTTGCGAGAGCTCGCCCATGACCTCCACGAGCCTCTACGGAGATCAGGCAATCAAACACACGCATGCACTTTTGCATGAGCTCACTCAGGGGCAACTCAGTCTCCCTTGGCAGTCGTTCGTGGGGACAAGTCATCACAGTTAGGTAGCCGCGAAGGTGGACGCGTACACACGCGCTGACTAATTAGATCAGTCGCGTACACGCGCGACGCGCCTGTACCTGCGTCTGCCTTTCTTCATCGCCGCTTTCTCAGGACCCTCTGGTACTTGGGAAACGTGTGCTTACTTTGCATAACGTATAATCGTCGTGCGACTATTCGGCCTGGGGGTGAATTCAAAGTGCTCGTAATCTCTCACGAACTTGCTTCGACTCGACCAGTCTTGTACCACCATCTGTAGATCTTTACCCATGAGCTCACCCCTTCCGAGTTGGAATGCGATGCGCGAGCCAACATCTTCCAGCGTCGCGGACGAGGAGGAAACAACTGGCGAGAGCAATGCAAGTACGTGAACGTTCAGTGCACGCGAATGTATCTCACGAGATGAACCTCAGATGACACGCCAGCTTCTACGTTGGTACCGACTTCACGCGTCGATCGACCGCGTCAACAACCCCCGACGCGCCTTCAGCCTCGAGACCCCAACCGAAGCGCCGCCGTAACGCGCCCCACCCATCGCGCCTCTCAGCCGACGCGCATCAGTTCGGACGAGGAGGACGAAATAACCACACCCTTGCCAAAGAGGAAGGGACGAGAGAGACCACCGAAGGAACGCGGAAGGAAGAGTGTGTCGGCACACGGTGGAGGCAGTGCGTCAGCACCTTCAGAAACTTTCCAGGATCTATTCGGTGGGCCTGCCCTCGCGCAGAATGCATCCGGTGCAGTGTCGTCGCGCGCCACTCAAACTCCTGCTTCCGGCGCCACCCAGCCTGCGCCTACATCAAGCTGCGCACCGAGCACATCCACTTCCGTTTCCTCGCGCACGCAACCCCTCAAAGAGTCCGTGGGATGGTCTTCAGGCCGTTCGCAGACTGTGTTGAACGATTCCTCACAAGGCCCTGTAAAATCGGCGACCCTAATGTCAAAGGCACCCGCAACTGCCCCAGACCTTAAGACGACGGACTCTTCGCGAAAACCTCTTTCACGTCCGCCACCGACGCCTTCAAAACGGCAGGTTCAGCAGGGTAAGTCTGATATGATCTTGACTAATTATGCGTACCATCTCGAATTCATCGAATTCATCGAGCCCGTCCCTCAATCCCTTCCTTACCAAGCCCCCCTTAGGCTCCTCTTGAGCCCTATACTCAGTCCCGCATTACTGACGACAACTGCAGAAGTGATAGACCTCGTAAGCTCAGAGGATGATGCGTCTGTACCTACTCCCGGGACATCAACCAATTCCGCTGCGACCGGCTCTGCTCCGCGAAAAAGTGCCCGAGATATACTACCGTCAGTCTCGCAGTCGGCGCCTACCACTCGGCCCTCTTCCTCTTTAAGTGGGCGTCAGGGACGCTCGTCATCGCGACGCCACTTAACCCAGCTGCAGCCTCCCTCGACATCGCAGCTTGATCCAACGCAACCACCCTTCGCACCCCTTCCTGCTGCATCGTCTGCTCAACCACTCGCTCAGGCTCCAATCGCACCTCAGCCCTCGCAACGCGGTCGTCATCGCCAAATAATCGATATCGACGACGCCGGGCGCGGAGTGAGCAGGAAGTTAGTAGCCTTCGCCTTCTAGATCGAGCCGAAGGTCTATGTTCGTCATACTGATAAGAATGCCTTTCAGGAAGGAACCTCCGCCATCGGACAGGGAAGTGATATCCATCAGCGACGATGATGAGAAGAAAGACGAAGAGATTGTGATCATTGGAACGCGAAATGCGCCATTCAAGGGGGCAAAGCAACCTACTAGGGATCGCGATGTGAAGGGGAAAGGAAGAGGTCAGTCGCTACTTTGCTGGTCAAGTAAGACAAACATGCATGCTCATTCAACCCTCAGCCAAACTCTCATCAACTTCTGATCCTCGCAAGCCGACCCCTAGGTCCAGTTCTGCCAAATACAGGCGGACGACTCGATCCAGCAAATACGAGCCTGACAGCGATATTGAAATCATAGATCCGCCTCCACCGACGTCGGCGAGCGGGAAGGTCGGGGCAAAGGGCAGGGAGACTGAGCGTCAACATAAAGAGAAGTCGGTTGAAAGGAGCGCAAACGATAGAGGTCCCGTTACGCGCGATGGACGCACATCTTCCCCGAGCCAACCACCCGAACATCTGTTCCTGTCCGCCCCATACGAGGACGATCCGCCTTTCCTCCCGGAAGCAGATATCGAGGAGCTCCCGCCGCTCCCCGAGGACGACGATGACGAACCGATGGCCATCGATGCACCCATGCCGATTGACAACAAGCCTGAAGAAGTCGAGGACTCCATGTCCGTTGACGAACTCGAGCCCTTACCCGTGCAAAGTGGAATCGAAACAACAACCGACCAGAGGCCCGACACTGTAGTTGTGGAGGACGACTTCATGTCAGTCGACCCGGCGATACCTCGCGACGATGCATATGTCAGAATCGAGACAAATCCCGCTCCTGCTTCTGAATCAACGCCATGCAACGACGTGTGCAATCAGACACACCAGTCAGCTCCGCTGGATATCGACCAGCCACCTCAACATGATGAGGTAGATCAACTAGTCGGTCATACGCTCAGTTCGCCGCTGTCGTCGAGGCCTTTGCCTGACTCAAGTTCTGCCCGACATGCGGCCTCTGTCAATCGGCCTCAGAGCGCGAGTGCGACGTCTTCCAGCGCAACGAGTAATGTTGCTGTCGAGGCGAAGACGTTATCCGCCGTGACCCCCTGTGGCGCGCGCAACGCCATGGTCTCGCGAAGGAGCGCAGCTGTTTTTTGCAATGCACAGCTTTCGACCAAGGCTAATGCGTCTCGCAATGACACATCACCTTCCACAAGCGGCGCTGGCCCTTCTTGTAGTGGCCGCAGCCCCTCGTCAGGTACTGTTTTGTCGACAGGCGACACTCAACCCTCCGCGTCTTCGGGTTCGGGAAGCAGCGCGCTCTCCCATTCTACGCCCGTTTTCGAGTCGTACGACGACGATGAGCTCTACGCTGACTCGGACAAGGAGGAAGTTATCAGAACCGTATCTGATGGTGGCAAGGGGAAGGGGAGAGCGGATCAGCATAAGCTGGACAGAGGGAAGCTCGACGGTGAAAAGCGAGCGCCGGACACGGTATGTAACGATGAATCTCCTCCGAGTCGAAGCTCATACGCTTCTGCCTAGGACGAACTCGCGACTCGGACGACTGCCCTAAGTATTTCCCCGAGCGCATCTCATACCACGTCAACACCGGCCGATGGTTCCACCGTCAGAATTCGGCGACTCAGCATCGCGAAAGACTCCGCCGCGGTTGCCCCTGTTTTCACGTCTGTGTGGCCCGCCAAGTCCGCCGTTGCTCCTGCGCACTCGTTCCCGATGCGCGGAGCATGGATGTCTACAACATGGATGCAACCACAGCAGCAGCAACAGCCGACAGCCATTACAGCTATGAAGCCGTCTAACAATGCGGCCGAATCGAGCGGCATGACCATGGCGACGTCCTCTACTCTCGCGGCTGCAACACCATCTGCACCCGGTTCGGTGACACTGCCGTTCGCCACAGATACATCTCCCTTCCAGTCTACGAACGACTCCGTGGAATTGGTTGAGGAGCCCTCGTTCCCTCGCAAGCGCTCTCGCGTACCGTCGGCTAGCCCATCCCGGCCAGCACCTGCTGAGCGCACTGGAGCCGCAGAAAATTGTATCAACGAGCCTCCTGTACGATCCTCGCCGCCGGTATCTCGCTCGCAACCAACGGTGCCTCCAATGACTAGTCGAGTCGCTACGCCCTCTAAGTTCCCAGTGCTTCACATCGACCTTCGCACGTTCCGACAAAATAACCTCGGAAGCACGCCGCTCAAAATTCTGTCTACACCGAGCAAGGTTGCGACGCGCGAGGCTGAGGAGACGGACATTGACGGTGCGACGCAGAGAGTACCTACGCATGGCATATCGCTGTTGCACGATCGCATGGACTCGTCGTCGCCGGTTCACAGGCCATCTCCACCGCCAGTGGAAGACTGTCAGTCCATCCTTAGCACCAGCCCAAGTGCAGAGCAGCATCAGGGTCCTCAGGAGACAGTGAATGCTCAGGAAGACCAGTCACTGACTACGGCTTCTCCCCTAGCAGGGCCATCGGTGCCTATCGCCCAACTTGCTGGCATCGCTCAGTGTGCGCCCACAGCCGCCAATGATAGTGACGAGGAATCCTTTCTCATACCATACTATGGCAAACGCAAGCGAGCGTCGACGTCCTCGAATAGCACTCCTGCGCCGGCCGAGAAGAGCGACGAAGACGCTGGCAGACGTGCGGAGAGCAAAGGCGAAGCGCGCGCCGTAGGGGCAGACAATCATACAGTGTCTGGCGACAAGGGGGAATACAGCGAAGACGATGGCAACGCAGAGTCCTCCGATAACCAATCCTCAATACCCGAAAGTGAAATACGACCCGCTTACCCGCGTTATTCCAAGCCTGTAGCTCGGAAGTCCGCAGGGGGCCGCCTTCCACGCCTTCGCTTACCTCCGACTACAATCGATGCCTCCCCACAAGACACCAATAGCGATCTGTGTCCATCGTCGTCTTCGGCCCCGCGAGCCGCGCCGCCTTTGCCAAGCCGCTGGAATCGCGTACGACCCGTTGCGCGCAAGAGCACCGGCGGAAAACCTCTCGGCTCATCGAGTGACAATGCTTTTTCTTTGTCCAGTGACGCTCATCCGCCGACCATTCGATATCCATCGTCGGTAACGAATTCAGACATGTAAGTCAATTCAGAGCGCTGTCTCTTCGTATGCAAGCTGAACGTCTCTCAGTGGTCCTCGGTATCAAGGCGATTTGGTAGGCGCGATCAACAACAAATCTACTCCGAGCCCGAAGCCCCCGCCTCACAAGCGTCGGCGCTTGGAGGCTAAACAGGCCGCAACAGGGCATGGCCCCTTATTCCAACACAGAGCTGCTGTACCTGAAACTATATCGCTTGTGAGCAGTGATGAAGAGGTGTCGACGTCTAATTCCCCGCCTCGCGTGCATAATTCAGATGACGGGGATGCCGTACGTCTCCTTTCCCGTCCTTAACGTTCTTGCGACACATGCCAACGTGATCATTTGCTAGGAGAGCGTCGCGAACATGCTAGAATCTACACCACCTACGACCGACACGGCTCCAGATCCGACCGCAAGCGGAGGGAACGGCGTCATGCAGACTGCGAGAAAGATAGTGGGAGCTGCCTACAACGCCTTCAAGGAACCCTACAATGCCGTGAAGGAGCAGGTTTTAGGTGTCGTCCACAACGGCCAGCGATCCTCGGAAGGCGAATCATCACGGTCGCCCTCTTCTGAACCAAGTACTCAATCGGTGGATGAGCGTGCTCGACGCAACCGAAGCAATCCCGTCCCCTTCGCGAGCGCAAGCTCAGAAAGTGGTTAGTCCCTGAACCAGTAAGACGAATTGTTCATCTGATAACATGCAGATTTTCAAGACTCAGCTGGTGACGATTCCGAAGGACCCAGTACTCAGCGCCGAAATCTTCGTCGTAGGCGCAAAGCAGTCAATTACGCAGAAGTACCACCGTCAGTCGATCAAGACTCCGATGGAACTCAGAGCGTCCGTGTGCGGTCGCCTGAACGCTCTGTATGTATGCTTGGGGCCTCTTCAACAGATACTTATTGAATCTCCATCAGGACGACTCTGTTTCCCACAAACCACCACCTTTACCATCCCGCATGCGACGGGCCCATATAATGACATGGACCAAGCGTGTACAGGAGCTCCGCAAAGAACCGCCACCATACTTCAAGTCAAAAAACATACCGCATCGCCTGGAGGACAGCGTTAACTACATGTCCCTTCGAGAGAGGAATCAGGTATGTAACGCCGTATACGCGGTCAACCTCTACCCAAACTTGTCTCCACCTGCGCAGACGCACGCGATGGGCCCCGTCTACTGGGCTCTCGCGTTCTCGCATGCCAGCGTGTTCAACGATGTGAGGCTGATCCCGCTCCTCCTTCGCTCTCCCACTCTATATGCCTGCTTCGTGTAGAATGCTGACGCCCCCTTCAGGACGGCGTCCGTTTTATGATGGAGGAGTGTATCAAGGATGCCGATCGTGAGGAGCGCCTTCCGGGCTCAGGTGGGTGCTGCGTTGCGGAACATATATACGCTGCTGAACTGTGATTGCAGCTGGCCCTCTGCCACCGCCAATGCGCATCATTAACGAGATCGACGGCGATGCAACGCCCCCTTGGGAATTTCACTACTCGAACGTCATGTGGCATGGCAAGCACGTCCCCAAGCCCAATCGCAAGGACCGGGTTGGCTGCGGGTAAAATCTATCTTTCACTTTGTATATACTGTACTAACGCATATGCAGTTGCATCGGAGATTGTAGCAGCAACCGCCATTGCGCTTGCTTGAAGGAGCAACGTCGATGGACGGAGACTTGGGGGCTCAAGGGTTTTGCTTACGACAAAGACAAGCGCCTCATCGTATTCGAGCAGCTGCCCGTCTTTGAATGTAACGAGCTCTGCGGATGCGATGACAATTGCCGCAATCGCGTTAGTGATTCATGCTTTCATTCATGACCGTGTTCTTATTCCCCTGCAGGTCGTTCAGCATGGCCGACGAATGCCATTGGTCATCAAGAAAACAAAGCACAAGGGATGGGGTGTCTTCAACGGTGCGAAGAAGATCAGATCAGGCGAATTCATTGGCATATATGCGGGCGAGCTGCTGGACGAAAGGGAGTCGCACAGACGCGGCCTGTGAGTCAATGGACCATCAAGAACGCTAAGAAGTCGCTTACCTCCTCTTCCACGCCCAGAAAGTACAACAGGTTCGGCCGAACTTACCTTCTCGACCTTGACTTCTGGTGGTGTCGTCGTAATGACCGGACGCAAGCGCCCCAGCCGAAGCCGGGTCCCCATGCGAAGGAGGAAAGCCCAGCAGGCAAGGCGAAGAAGAAAGGACGCACACGAAAGCAGTCATCGCAAGACCCCGATGAGCAGCCGGAGGAAGAGCTCGTCGTGGAAGAAGACGATGCCCCCGGCTGGGAGCCTTTATACACCGTCGATGCGTACCACGCCGGAAATGTGAGCGCGTCGTTGCTATTGTCGAGTTCTACGTGCTGATGTGCGCTGCAGTTCACGCGCTTCTTCAACCACTCTTGCGACCCCAATCTCATCACGACGGGGGTATACGTAAGCGAGGTGCGTGTCCTCACTTAGTGTCTATAGCTCTGTAACTACCTTCGTCGCACCCCCCTCCGTTTCTTCGCCATCCCTACCGCCTTTTGCCCTTTCCGCACATCTCCCCGCTCACATTTGACCTCGATCATAGGCAAACGTCGACAAGCCCCTCGTCTGCTTCTTCGCCTGTCGAGACATCGCCCCCGAAGAAGAGCTTACATTCAACTATCGCGGCGCCGATGACGAAGGACCCCAGGACGGGCCCGCGACCGTCCATTCCGACGAGGTCTACGCGAAGTGCCTCTGCGGGGCGGCGAACTGCACTGGTACGTTCGTCCCATTCACCGCGGCAATGCCATAGCGGCTGACGACTATGCAGGGACCATGTTCAACTCACGGTGATAACGTTGAGTTCGAGTGGTACGACGCTGCGCGACTGTATAGGAAAGGTCGTGGATTGGCTTCGTTATTCGCAAGCAATATGCCAGGATGACATTCTCGAGATTCCGTGTCGGGTCATAACGATCCTAAGATACCCCTCGCATCGTTGTTGATAGCACAAGAGCGTATATGGCTGTTGATGCTCTAGCGCCTGTCTGCTTTAATTCATCGGTGAATTGCGAACACCCTTCGGAGCTACGTGACTGTACGAGTTCGTGACATTGAACGTTGTTCGTGGCCCGATGGTCAACGACCTCGAGCTCGTCTCCCCTTTACGAGTCCCGCCACCATTTCGTCTGCTTGCGGGCAGAACAGTGACGTGCTTGGCCCAGAAAAGCGAGGTCAACGAACTCAAAGGTCGCGACGCGAGGAACTTGCTTCAAAATCGACCGCACCTTACATAGATGGTACTCGCGGATTGTACACCCACATCCGCAATCAGTCCTCGACGCCACTCGCCGTGGTAAAGTCAAACAGCATGAGCCAGTCATTAACAGCTTCATTCATCATGGTAAATCAGTACCGTAATTTTGGTCGTATGAGGGATAAAGCAACATGGCAAGGTCGCCCGCCGCAACGCACAGCGCCAGCGGACGGACCCCACCACCGCTTACCCTACCCCTTCACCCCTCCCTCCCCCATTCCCCTCTAAACATTCCCCCCCGCCTTTCAAAACTCCGGATCATCATCAATCGGCACCAGCTCATGGTCCGACTGCACATGAATCCCATGCTGGCTCGCAATCCCCTCCACCCTCGGGTACGCGTTCAAATTCTTGTGCAGCGTGATCTGGAACAGGCTCGCGCTCCCCTGCCGGCTCGCGATCACGCTCCACGCAAGGAAGAAGGCCCAGACGCGGAACCAGCGCTCGCCGTACTTCGCCAGCACCTTCTCCTTGTTCGCCAGCCAGTTCTCGTACCAGCGCCAGAGCGTCGCGGAGTAGTGGCAGCCGAGGACGTCGACGGACTTCACTTCAAAGCCTGGGTAGGGGGGGTCAGCGCGGAGAAGGGTGGGTAGACGATGTGAGAAGACTCACCAGCTTGCTCAAGCTTGTTGATGACCCAGCCGAGCGCGCATGACGCATCGGCACCCGGGAAGACATACTTGTTCATGAACAGGCCCCTTGGAGGATAATCTGGTTAGCTCGTCTCTTGCAGAGCGCAACGCGTCAAGATAAGATCATCACACAAAAGCATGTCGCCATCAGCAAGAGCTTGCGAAAAAAACAGGTTTACGAGGCCCAGCCGTAGCCGCGACCTCGCAATCATGCGGATAATTGAAGGAACGCGCACTCACCATACCAAATCCTCAAATTGCCAGCGCGCGCGAATGCCCGACACCTGGAAGAAGAACGTGCCGTCGTCCTCGAGTAGGTTGTACACCTGGTTCAGGAAGACGTGGTACCGGCGGACGCCGACGTGCTGTGGTGAAGGATCAATATGAGGTGTGTGAGCGGGGTAGGGGTAGGGGACATTGGGTTGGCGAAGGATGCATAGGGTTGGCAAAGGACACGTAGGGTCGGCGAAAGGGACGCGAGGTGAGGTGAGGAAGAATGTACATATCGACAGAACAAGAACGCGCACTCACCTCAGCCATCTCCAAGCTCACGATCTTGTCAAACTTTTTGCCGGCCGGGATCTCGCGGTAGTCGTGGCAGAGGATGCGGGCCTGGTCCGGGGTGAGCTGCGAGGATAGTCAGCATACAGCTCTCCACCATGAAACGCTAGCAGATGATCAGCGACACTCACTCCAGCCTTCGCGATCCGCTCCGTGCCGAACGCCGCCTGCTCGCGCGCGAGGGTGACACCAGTCGCGTCGACGCCGTAGTTCTTCGCCGCGTAGGCCGTGAGCGTGCCCCAGCCGCATCCGATATCAAGAAGACTAAGGACAGGGATCAACACATGCTTCTGAGCACATGGACCCCACTCACGTCTCGCCCGGCTTCAACCCCAACTTCTCGCACACCAGCTGCAGCTTGTTGTCCTGAAGCTCCTCGAGGGTCTCCTTCCGCGTCGGGTCGCGAATCACGCCAGACGTGTAGATCATGCGCGGACCGAGGAACCAGTAGTAAAAGTCGTTGCCGCGGTCGTAGTTGTCGCGTATCTGGTTCTCGTCCTGGTTCTGCGAGTGCATGATGACCTCGGGGAAGAAGTTGCAGAAGACATAGCGGAAGAGCTCGTAGGTGAACTCGAAGGACGCGAACTCTTGCCGGTGCTCGAGCGTCTCCAGGACGTCGCCTATAACGAGGGTAAGTACAGTGAGAAGAGCATAGCTCATAGCACGCACCCTTAAAGTCGACCTTGCCGTCAAAGTAGGCGTCGTGCAGGATCTGCATCGGAACCTTCTTGTCCTTCCACTCCTCCGCGAACGCCGCGTCCCTAATCTCGAAGAACTCCTCCAGCGGCTTCCGCTCCACCGGCACCTTCTCGTCCAGCCTCGGGCCCACCTTGCTGATGACCCACCAGTACGCGACCGCGACCGGGAAGCCCAGCAGGGCAAACAGCAACAGGTACGTCTTGAACCCGAACGTCGGCTGGAAGCCGAACAGCGTGGTGGTGACGACAGAGATGGGCCAAAAGAGCAGCGGGAGCACGAACGCCTTGACGAGCCACGGCGTCGCGACGATGATGCCCCAAAAGTGCAGGTTGTTGAACGCCGCGTTCCCCTCCGCGAGCGAGACGAGCGGCGGGGAGTGCACCGTCGGGCTCACGAACGTGCGGGGCGGCTTGGGCGCGCCGGGGCGCAGCGCGGGCGGCGGCGAGGCGGATGGGGCGGACATGGCGGTACGCGTCGAGTCCGTGAGGAGGCGCGCAGACACGTACGATTTTATCCTAAAGTGCCGTCACGTGCGCCACGCGTTGAGCGCCCACGACTCTCCGTCGCCAGGGTGCGCATCACAGCGTGCTTGTCCCTTACCTCAACCCGCCATCTTCTCCGCTTTGTCGCAAGTACCGGCTAATTCACGACGAAGGGCCCTTACCTTATCCAGAGCGCCCTTCAATATGCGCCAAGTCTCTCGTCAGCCGCAGGAGTAACCCTAGATTCTCTCAATTGAACCGTACAAGGCTTTGATCTCTCACGTCGACGCTATCATCTTCCCGATCCTGTCGCACATACAGCCTGAGAATGAAGTCGATATACGGCCCACGGACCCCGAGATGAGTTTGAGCCGCGGCTCACAATGTTCCTCGATGGTGAGCTCGCAAGTCACGTAGTCTCGACGTCCTCTCTTTCCCCTTGTTCTCTCTTCTTGAACATACTCCTCGTATACCTTAATTGCTATTACCTCCGTATCCCCTGCGCCCTCCCTCTCCTTCGCTCACCCTCCTCCTTCTCTTCCATTCATGCTCCCTTTCTCTTCGTCTCTTCGTTCCTATGCCCCGTCCATTCGCGTCCCTTCCCCTTCACTGTCCCCCATTCATTCCTCTTCCACGAGAATGGCCGCCTGCTTCTCTACCGTGCCTCTGGAGGAAGCACACGAACCCGCCATCAGGGAAAGTGCAGAGACACGTCGGCTGAGAAAGGACGTCACCCGGCCGCCGCCCTCAGCACTAATCAACGCTATTGCGCATCGCCCTTCGACTGCGCAGCGCTGGGTGGTAGCGAATGAATCGATGACCCTTCACTCCGCCGTTGACTCAGCACTGTTTGTCCTATTGCACCTAGGGATTACAGGAACAACAAAATCGTCGTCGAACATCACGCCACCGTCCCCGTCCCCGACTGTCTGCCTGCTCCCGTCACGCCATCTCCCGCATATTCGCTCTCGGACCTCGTCCCCTCGCCTCGTCCGATTAATTCACAACCACCTACGCCTCTTTCCCCTCGTCCCTCTCCCAATGTCCCTTTCCTCCCCTTTCTCTTCCCCATCCTCCTATTGCCCTCCCCCTCTTCTTCTTCCCCTTCCCTCCCCCTCACGCCTCCTCTCTCCTTACTCCCCTCTCCTTCCCTTCCCCTTTCTTCCCCTCCCTTCCCTCCCTTCCACCCATTCCGCTCTCTCGCTCCTTACCGCGCGCTGTCCGCACTACAGGAACACGCAGGACGCATCTCAAGAATAAAACGCAGGACGAGTCTCAAGAAAACTCAGGACGACAAGTCCAACCGCGGATGCATGCGGCTGAGGGCGATTTTGGACGTGTACCCGTGCAGGAGGATATCGACCGTGCACGCATGCAGCTGAGGACGACCTCCACCGCGGACGCCCACGCAGGACTCATCTCAAAAGCAAGCACATGATAATGTCGGCCGCGGAAGGACGATGCGTCAGTCGTCGTACGGAAGAACTCGCGTCAGGTGTGCAGCCGGCGAGCGGGATGAATACGCCCGACCTCGATGGTCGCGACGACGCTAGACGTCGCGCGAGATGAAGGCGCTCGACGTCGCACCGGACGTCACGCTGAACGCACCGCCCGGACTCGACCTCAACACGACGGCACACCGAACGTCACGCCCCCAACCATCCTCCATCCCCACCCTCCCCCTCCCTACCCCTCCGCTCCCCTCCGCTCCCCCTCGCACCCTCTCCTCACCCCTACATATCCCGCCCCCCGTCTCGCTCAATACTTACCTGTAGTACTGATACATCGTTCACTGGATGCGTCGCTGATACCATAGCTCGCGAGCGTCCATGATCCTGTCACCGCCGTCATTCAATCTCGTCCGCCACCGTCCATACTCTCGCTCGCGAGCGTCAATACTCTTGTCCCGAGCGTCCCTACCGGTACCATCGCGCGCGCCCATACTCTCACTCATTCGCAACCCCGTCCACGTACGCATCCCGCAGAGACCTTTACTCTCCCTGCTGCTCCCATTGATTCCTCGTATCACTTACCCCACCCCGCCCTCCTACCGACGTACACACTCACCCTCGTACGCATCACTCAAACCTTCACCTCCCCTACCGCTCATCTTCACCTCCCCATATCATCTACCACCACTGCCCCTGTTATTCACCTCCACCTCTTTCGCATCGCTCCCTACCGCTCATCACACCCACACACTTTGCAGATGCTACAAAAGGTCACGAATTCTGAATGTCTGATTTCTCGTTATCCTTCCACTACCGCAATTCTAGACACGGTGCCTCATTGCGCGCCGACGCCAGCCTCATCGCGTACCGACGTCAGCCTCATTGCGCGCCGACGCCAGCTGCTGGTGGACGCCGGCTTCGCACGAAGCCTGCGTCGCCTCACACCCCGCCTAATACCCAGCCCCAATCAGATAATGCGCCAGTCCCTCCACCACCGGCGTCGCCTCCGGCGCGTACTCCGCGACCAGCACCGCCTGCTTCGTGCGCACCAGGATCGCGGCGAGCGTTAGCGAGCGAACAATGAGCGCATAGCGTGAGCGAGCGCCAGAGGGGTGGGCGAGCGTTGGCGAGAGGTCAAGGGAAGGAACAGAGGGTGGTGGGCGGTCAGTAGGTTTTGTGAGCGAGCAGGTGGTGGGGCTCGTCGAGCGGGTGATGGACGATCGTCGAGTGGTGGACGCTCGGCGAGCGGGCGGGGCTCGTCGAGCGGGTGGTACACGCTCGTCAAGCGGGTGGTGCACGCTCGGCGAGCGGGTGAGTGTCATCGAGCGGGTGAGGCGGCTCGTCAAGCGATCGATGGACGGTCGGCGAGCGTGTGTGGCTCGGCGGACGGTGGACGCTCGTCGAGCGGGTGAGGCTCGGTGAAGGAGAGGACGAGAGAATCTCAAAACCCACTCCGCCCCTTCTTCAAATACACACCCCGCTCCCCCGCGCTCAGCGTACAGTACTTCTCGCCCGCCAGCCGGAGGCCGTTCGCTTGGACTGTTGGGTGGGAGGAGAGGGGCGTGTTAGTAAGCGTGCCGTATGAAGGATTAAGGGGGTGGTAGGGGGAGTGAAAGAATGTGTGTGGTCAAGGGCAGCGTGTGGTAGGAGGAAGGGGGGCGAAAGACAGAAAGAGTGCGGTAAGGGAAGGGTGGCGTGTTGTTAGGGGGTGAAAGACAGGAAGGGAGAGAAAAGGGTGCGGAAGGCAAAAGGAGGGGTACGGGGCGAACGTAAGCTAGCGTGGTGGGAGAGGGAACGCGATAGGAGAAGGAGCGCGAAAGCGAACGCCAGGCGACGCGTGCGGGAAAGAGAGGGGCGTGCGGCGTGATAGAGGTGCACGGTGAGGTGGGGGAGAGGAAAAAATGCGAGAGGAGCGTTGGACGCACGCCTGCCGGCGCGAGACGAGATGAATGGGCGCAGAAAGACGAGAAATTGGCGAAAGAAAGACGAGGGCAGGGCGGAAGAAGAAGGACAACAGCCGGGAGGTGACTTCTTCATCCCCCCCGCGTGCCGCCAGGCGCGTGCCACCGAGCCTTTCCCCCTCTTCACCCAACGCGCCCCTTTCCTCGCCCCTCCCTGTCCCCCCTCGCCCCTCGCCCCTCCTCCCCTCGCCCCCCTCCTCATCTCCTTCCTCATGCGCCTCTTTACCACCCAAAAGCCCCCACCCAACCCCGCCACCACTCGCGCGCCCTTATACCGTCAGGCACAAATTGCAAAGGTGACAAAAACTTTATGATGGATAATGCGTTGCATTTGCATGTTGGCCACTGGAGAATAGGTAAAGCGAGACTACAGGTAATGGGAATATAAAATAAAGGTCGAGCGTACAGTAATGGTTACACCATGATTAAGTTCACCCATCCATAAGGCTCTTGTACTGTGCAATATTTTCCTCTGCAGTGCCCGACCAATCTGCGTTCTCGATGACGGCAGACTTCCACGTCGGCGTTTCGCGGGAGGCCATGACGATGCTTTTGATGACATCATCGGTGAGCGCGAAGTTAGACTGCAGTCTGTCCGCTCCGTCATTGACTCCCCTGCCGATGAAGGTCCCAGTGCCGTGCTGGGGTCGGGATGGCGGTGGCTGAGATGACGGCCGAGTTTTGCGGTAGAAGTACGAGGAGCTCGACGAGGGTTGCAGCACCCCTCTTGAGGACAGCCAGTCCTGCCATGTGAGGTTGTCGAGATCGATGGCCGGATTCATAAAGGGGCGATGCGCTCGCACGCTAAGTTCATGGACGATGAACAGGGAAGGTACTGGGGCATGCGTATCTCGGATATCTAAGCCGACGTATTTGCCATGGTATATCTCTTGAGTGTCACTGCCGCCGTGATTAACAAAGATGAACTTGCGCTCCTGCGAAAGATGAGAGAAAATCAATAGATCAGATGGGCGTACGTACGTCGGGCATATAGCGCAAGTAGACCTCCAGATTGTCGAAGTACCAATGGTGTTGGCGGCATAATCTGAGGCCATTACGGGGCTCGTGTTCGTGGCTTTTCAGATTAAGGGGTATCCACTTCTGCTTCTTCATGTCGTCCCACTGTATGTCTGTTAGTAACTTGTTCGACGACCAGCGCAAGAAGACACACCATGCATGGATCTGCCTTGGGAATGATGTGACAGTCTTCCAGCCCGCGGCTTTCGCCGCAGACGATGCAGCGAGGTACTCCGCCGAATACGTCACGTTGGTTGATGCCGGTGCCGAAGGCCGTGCTCGACGACCGCATAGATATGGTGCGTTCGGTCCAGGCATATGCACTGGGAAGGTCACCGAGAGGTAGGGAGAACGATGGCAGAGTCTTGGACATGGCGAGATGCTTGGTATGCTGATAGGTCGATGAGGGCAGCAAACAAGGGGTGGTCGCGTTAAAGTCAGACTCACTTGACACAATCTGTGGCTTGATTGCACGTGATACAAACTGTGAGAACGGCCCGGTGACCTGCCGCTTTTGGAAGCTTTTGGCCGGTGGGTCACCGACACCGGGCGGCCTCCTTCGCAATAATCAAGGGAACTCGTTTGGTCCTCTGCGGGGGCTGGTGACACCTTACAGACACAAACCCTACAGCATATACTGCTCTGATCACTATACTATGTGGCATGCACAAGCACAAGACTGGCGTGGGAATCCTCCCGGGAATTCGCTGAACATGAGTTGAACTGCTCGTACTCATTGACGGCGTCACAGCAGTTCAGAGCAAGTGTATAAGCGCGCCCCCATGTTTAGCCAACCATCAGGACGCTGAAAGTCTCTGCCGACTCCCGAGCAATGAGTAGATTCCAAACCAACTGGTCGGGTGGCTCGTGCGCCTTCTCACGCACTCCCCTCCCCACCACCCCGTGCTTCTTCTGCCCGCACTGATTGAGCCCCGCGCCGCAGAAGTGCGCCATGAAGAGCCAGACGAGGATCTGGGGTGTAGGTCAGTATGGTGTCGAGAGAAGCCCTCATCCCGCTCTCGTCCGCCGCCTTGTCCCGCCAAAACCCCCTCCTTCCGCTCCTCGCGTCCCTTCCCCCGTCCCTCGTTGTCCCTCTGCCCTCCATAGCTATCCTTTTCCTCTCTCTCCTTCAACCCCTACCCCCACTTCTCCCCTCCCCCCACTCCCCTTCCTTGTCCCTCGCTCCTCTCTTTCTCTGCCCCTTTTTCCTCCCCTCCTTCCCCTCCCCTTCCCTCCCTTCCCTCCCTTCCC